AAATGTGGCAAAGATGGCAACTCTCTACACTGGTACTGAGTGCTTAGAAACTGATGGACAAAACCAAGTGTCTGCAGCACTCCTTTAGTATACATTAATGCAGCTGCTTGAGCTCTAGCAAAAGACTTTCCTCATTCTCATTAATCCAGAAAAGGCAGAATGTCTAGCTGCTAGTGTTGGCCTCTCGTGACTGAATTTTGTTGAAAGATAATCACAGGGTTGTGATTCAATAGCACAAATCTTAGAGAGGATTTCCCTTTATTTTTGGTAAGTATCATAGGGGAGAAGGATGGTGTATGAAGCAGGTCTTTTTGCAGAAAAATATGCTTTTTAAAAGCTTAAAAGCTTAGTGAGTGATGACATGTCACTGGATGATTGTGTTTTTCATATGTATCAGACAGGGAAGAGTTAGGATCTAAAATTCCTATTCTAATGTACTCCCTGAAGTTTAAACAGTTATCAGGACAGTGGCATTAATCAGTAGCTTCCCAATGCATTACATAAGACAATGCAAGGTTGACAATTACAAACCAATCAGCACGTTTTTCTAAACCTGAATATTTTGTTTGTTTGGCAGGAGGAGTTTTAGCATAAAAGATAACAATAAGGAAAAAAATGAAAGAAATTCTCATGCATGGTATAAACTTCTAGTATTCTTTTTATCGCTAAAAGCCCAGGCAAACTATTCTTAAAGTTGGAGTTTTTTCTTCATAACTTGTTTTTTCATTTATGAGCAATGAAGACCAAAATAAACCAAAGTTATTCTCTTGCAGCCCAACTTCAGTCCATAAGGCTTTTGAGATGCTTTGTATCTAATCTTTTGTAATAAATATTGCTACCCAAAGCAACTTCATATCAATTTCTCTTAAAATAAGTGCAAAAATGAAGAGCTCTGCCTTATAATTTAAACTACTTCACAGAATTTTTCACATAAATCAGGTACAATAAAATATTATCTGCATAAAAAGGTTTTATTATTGGATAACTGTAGAATAAATGATGCTGGAGGGTTTTTATATAACTGAGCTGACCACACATGCTGAATCTGTTATCTTCATATATAGCTTTATTTTCCAAGGAAGTACCTGCAACACCATTCTTTTATAGATAAGACTAACATCAATCTACACAGAGAACCTAGCATGATCTATTCTTTAACAGGAATGTTTTTTAGATATTCAGGAGATGCTGCATAAGCATTGCAAAGCCTAGAATCCACATCCCCCAAATTCTGCAATGTTTCATAACTTTGACAGTACAATTAGAGACATGCAGATAATCAAGCCAGTCTTTATCTTACCAATCAGAATAGCGCAAGTTATAGTGGGAGTCTGGAATTCAGCATTTTTCCATATGCATAAGAAACCTTCAGTTCCTGCACCTTTTGTTGGCACAAACTCATTGTTCTCAGTATCAAACTGGCAGGTTAAAGCTATTGTTGGGGGTCTTAAGAAAAAATTTGCAATATCCTTTGTTTGTTGTACAACAAAGGTGAAGTTTTAGACAGATTCTTATTGTTTTTGATGTAAATAAAAGCTACCAAGAACAGCAAAATGTTTTGGAAATGCCATATGATCTGCCAGGGTGTTTCCAGGTGTTTTAGTGTCCTGCAAACTGGGAGTCCCCAGAGCCTGGTTCAGGTCTTCTTGTTTTCCAGGGAACAAAATGTAAGACTGCTGCTGTCTTAGAGCCAGAGCGTCAGACTAAGATCTGTCATCTGTATGATGATTCAGGAGCAGCCTGCTTGGTGTATTTATTCAGAGGCAAGGGGTCCTGCATCCTGTGGGCTCCCAGCTAATTTCCACATGACAGCCTGACACTGAAGGATACTGCTGCAGAACACATTGCAGTCCAGTTGCCCAGAGATGCCACCTCATTCCTCCTGCAGTCACCTGCAGTCCCTGACAGACCCAGAGAAACCAGCAATTTGCAAGCCTCTGTCCTGAGGCTGGAGATAATCTCCAGACACCGTTTGCTTCCTGGTAGTTCCCAGAGTTTTGCAGAGTTTTGCCTACTCTGTATTTCCTCCTGCCCACGCTGCTTGTAGTGTACAAGGGCAGGTTGGATGCTTCTTGCTCCTCAGAGTGTATTTCCAATGCTGTACAGGCAATGTCAGAGGAAAGCGAAATGACAGAGAAGATGAAAAGGTCTGTCTCAGGCATAGAACTATTATGTCCTAATATAAGTCAAAAATATTGTGCATAAACATATATTAAATAATTAAACATATATTAAAACATCGTTCCATCTATTGGAACATAGAATGTTTGTAGCTATGCTTACACTCGGTTTCTTTCTTTTTCCATTTGTTTCTATATCAGGTGATATCTTATGTGAAATTTTTACATTGTTCACATATCTGAACACCCAGATCTCACATTACTACAATGTGAAAGAAACCATTGCTGGCAAGTGATGATTCTCACTGAGCTGTGAAGGATACAGACCATATTCACCTAGTTCTCTGCAAACTTTCAGTTGGATTTCAGTGAGCTGAAACCTATCTCCGAAGGCTTCTATTTCCTTTTTCTTTTTTTATTTTTTCTTTTTCTGACAGTAATTTGAGGCAAGTCAGGACATCTCTATTTTTAAGAGCCTAGAATCTGCAACTTCCAGTCCCTGAGGGGGAAACATTATTTATTATTCCACATAGTCACCTGTGACTTCTAAAAAGAGAATAAATATAATTAGAAAAATGTGACATAACTTTTTCTGAATCCCCAGAGTGTATCTTTTTTAGCCATCTATTCTCTCTCCTCCAGACCCTGATCCCACATGTGCTAAACAGTACACACAGAACTCATCTGCAGTCCTCAAGTTAAGGATATTGAATACCTCCTCGTAAAGGGGAATCTTCTACATCATAGTTTTCCAGCATTTAAATTGTACCTTCTGTAGAGAAGGTGCCTTATTGATTGGAAAGTGCACCTTCAGTAGTCCCAACAGTTAGAGAAATAGTTATCCTTCTTTGGGCACAGTGGAGGAACTGAAAAACAGAATTAAATGACTTGCTCTGTGCCATACAGGGACTCTGTGACAAACCAGGATGTGATACTGTAAAACAATATTACAGAGGAATATGCTTTTCTCTGAAGCTTAACTCCCAGTTTAAACTGACACAGCCTACAAACAAGCACTATGGTACAATACTGATGTTCATTAAATGATAGATTGAAAGTTAGTCTCAAAGTACCAGAGCAGTACATTCTCCTTGAGCCTTCTTTGTTAATAAATTGTGAATTATGTATACTCCATTAAAAAAAAAAAAAAAAAGCCTGGAGGAGAAGAGACTGAGGGGAGACCTCGTCACAGTCTACAAATTCCTCATGAAGGGAAGAGGAGGGGCAAGCACTGATCTCTTCTCTGTGGTGACCAGTGATAGAACCCGAGGGAAGGCCTGAAGTTGTGTCAGGGGAGGTTTATGTTGGATATTAGAAAAAGATTCTTCATCCAGAGAGTCACTAGGCACTGGAACAGGCTCCACAAGGAAGTGGTCACAGCACCAAGCCTGATAGAGTTCAAGAAGTGTTTGGATAATACTCTCAGGGACATGGTGTGACTCCTGGGGATGGTCCTGTGCAGGGCCAGGAGCTGGACTCAATGATCATTATGGGTCCCTTCTAAATTGCTATATTCTCTGATTCTGTGATTCTGTAATAACCTGTTGCGAAAAACAAAACTTTTCCTTGTAAGCTCAGGTAGTGCCATTACACAAATGGTATACTGTCCTTCACATTTTATATTGCAAATAAACAAGACTACTTTAATTATCATGATCTGACATGCCATCACTAGAACAGAAAGTACAGTACTGAAAGGTATAATACATTTGCAATACAGGGAAGGTTTATGTTAGGCATTAAACAAAATAGCATTAACATGCAGTATGAAAAATACTGCCCTATTCTAATAGAATCTTTCCTGAAGGAACAATTTTAAAAATGGATTTCAGATTTTACCGCTTAAGTCAAAGTATTAAATGTCAGACTAAATTATGTTTTGGAAAATATGAAGTTTTTGCAACAAAAAAAAAAAGCGCTTTTACTATTCATGGTGTCTTGGCTGTGTTTGAATTTCTTACATTTCATAATATGAAGTTAATCCTTGCTAAACTTTAAATAAGCAGGAGGTTAGCAGAGTCAAGGAGCCCTAGCAGTCGAATCTTTTGACAAAGACCACTTTTCATTTTCTGCTTGTTTAGGGTAAAATAACCATTACAATCAATATGACAAGCAAACAGATGGACTGAGTGGCAAAGAAATAGATGGAAAATATTTGAGGGATGTGGACGTTTAAAGAAAGGAGATTACAAAGATGACACCAAAAGCCAAGGAGGGTATGAAAGAAAAGTCATATTCAGGCAAGAATAAACCAGAGCAGTAGAAAAATTACCATTTTGGACTTCAGTCAGGCAGCACAGAACAACTGTTGTGCCTAACAGAACAAACAATTCTTGCATCTGCAGAAAGAAAATAAAAGAAATAACAGCAACACAGCACCATCCTGATGAAAAGAAGTAGATGTGGAGGTCCTTGACAGTATAAATTGAGATAACAGTTAAGGTCACAGCCCAGAAACTGTGGGAACAAAATAGATCCAATGACACCAAACACCTTGTCTGATTTAGCACTGTATGCTAACACACTACATATTTTTTCCCATATGCTTCAGCAGGAATACTTGCTTGAAAAGTTTTTGTGTAAGCTGTGGCAGAGCTGCAGGAGTTGGAAAGAGCATCCCTCCATGCCACAGTGCTCCGGCACCCCAGCCGCAGCCTGGGCTGCTCACCTACTGCGGGGGGAGGCACAGTGGCACCAGCACCATGCCCCAAGGGGTTCTACGGCCACATGGTGAGTACCATAAATTTGGGATGTATGGATCCTGCCATTATGTCTAGAGGCAGCCACTATCACTGCTGAATAATAGTTGTATTCAAACGGGAGGGATCTTTCTTCCTAAGATTATGTAATACATTCAGTAATTAAATAAAGCACAGAGGAAATTATACCATATGAATGCCAATCTACAGCTTTCCTGATGCAATGTAAATGGTCCCGAGTGGTTATCAGGGAAATATCTGAACAGACTAACTTTATCAGCACACATGGGACTTGGTCACCTACAAAGAGCTTGCAGAGGACATATTTACCATCATAAACACAGGGTGGAACATCAAAAATAGGACTTCAAGGAAAAGTACATTTCCCAGGACAGGCATCTGGATATTGTGGAGAATGAAATTTGGAATGAAACTGCAGCAGAAAAATCAAATAAAGCCTAGGTTTTACAGACAGAGAAATACACCATATATCACAATATATTTTACAGGACAGGCTTCAATAGCTCACAAGAACCAGGTCACAACCTTAACGTTGCCTGACTGAAGCTATTGCATTACTATCAACACAGATCACTTTTGCACCAAACAGGTTTTAATACATTGTAATGTGGGAATTAACTGTTTCTTTCTGATAAGGAGAATTCCTTCTATTCCATTCTATTCCTTCTATTATCAGGCATCAAATCATTTCAGTATTTTGCTGATATGTTCTCTTCATCTACAATCTTCCAAAGAAAACAGTTTGTCTGCCTGTGGAGTGGAAACAAAATGTGCCTGAATAAGATTCAGATAAAAATGGACACAGAAATTAGTCCTGGAGAACAGTAGGTTTCCCAAGGCCTTGCTAAGAACTCAGAAACTGTTATATTTGGTTTTAAGTACTGAAGCCCAAGTTTATTTTCAGAAAATGATAGATCCTATTCAGAAATCTTAAAAGATGGCAAAGATATTTAAAGGAAGACCAAATTTTATTTATTTGTGATTACATTCATCAATGGAAGAATAGGTATGGTAAATAGATAGTGAAATATATATTTGTAGGATCGTGTATTTCAAACTCAAATATCAAGTATGGACCAAACCTTTTATTTTATCAATTGGGCTATGACCATAAAGGTGTGTCTGTATCAGGGATTGAAGGATTTGTGGGTTATCAATTTGGCTTGCACATATATATATGTATATATATATATATATATATATATGGATGGAGACTTATGGTACACACTCAAGTGCACAACTGATGAACTAGTATCCTTTTGAAACAAAAGTTGCTGACATGCAATAGGACAGTAGGGATGCTGGGGAGCATCATTTTAATATGGACACAATGACTTCCACTACATAGCTCTGTACATTTTTATGGCACATACAAAGTTAGACTGTTTGTAGTCTGTTAATTTTTTCATATCTGTGATGCTTGTTGATACAGATGATGTTGTAAGTCTGCTCTTAACCTATCTATCAGTTACCAAATGACAGTCACAGGTGGACCTCTCCACTATTATCTCTCTCTTTTTAACTACTCAGTGCTATGCCCTACTAATGGTGGATAACACTTAGCAAAAAGAACAGGAAAGTGTGCATTTAGTAGTTGTGATTGACAGAAACCACAGGTAAATTCTTTGCTGTGTAAGAAAAAAGCTGAAGTTGAAGGTCTAGAAAATTATCTCACATAGAAAACGCCTACAGTCTACTCATTTGTAGATGAGGATGGAACATGTTTTTCATGCTGTATGATAAGGCAGGAAAGCAGTGTCTCGTCCTCCCTTGGCACATTTTCTTGACTGAAATTTTCTTCTACTGCAATGCGTTTTTGAAGACAGGTCCTCATTTGATACAACAAAATCTTTGGAAGGCTAGTACCATGGTGGTTCAAGTCAAATACCCACACTCTCCTCTTCCAGTTTCTGACAGCGAATTGCAGCTTGTTTATCCTGAATGCACTTCCAGTGGACTCCCTTCAGAGTCATGGTCACAATAGCAAGACTGAAAGAGAGATGAGCAGCAGAGCTGGAGCCATGGCTTCCAGAGAAGGTTGTCCCATGACAGCTGGTTAGGAACAGCCTGTAAGGATCTGGTGTGATTGTCTACTGCTTGGTGAATGACCCTGAGGATTTCATAGAAACGGCTCTCAGTTTCTGGATTCAGTGGAACTTTCTCTTCAGGGTCTCTGGACAGATCGAAGAGCAGTGGGGGATCATGTTGTGTAATGAATCCTCCATGGCAGAAGCAAACATGAGAGTCATAGCAACCATTGGAGTCCTCAGGACTGAAGTTTGGAGTGAAGAAGAAGACTTTCCAGACAGATTCATCTGCAATTTACAGACACAAAACAGCTGGTGATAAAATGACAAAATGAAAATCCCCTAGTCTTAGGAAACTCTAATTTACACCAGGAAATCAGTCTTTTGGTATAAAGACAATAAAGACACTGTGCAGAAACTGCAGTATACTGAAAGAGTAAAACCAAATCGAGCAAAAAAAAAAAAAAAGAAAAAAAAGGTTATTTTCATACTACATATATTCATGAAATAATTATGATAATTTCATTCCTTTGGAAGAATTCTGATTAACTAAATCATAGAAAACTTAAAGGAACTGTTTGTTTGTACATAAACAGTGCTAAGAAGATTTGCATAAATATTTACTAAGTCTTCTTTAAGGCTTATTAAAGTGTATCTTTGCCCCTTGACCACACCTACCTACTGCTGGGCGATGTCTGCTTCTCATTCTGCTAATCAAAATAATTTCACTGTTACCTTTTTCTCTCTTCCTTTCTTGTATTAACCCATTGCCCTCTGCCACATGCTTTCATTGCAAACACCTGGAGATAGAGTTTCTCATTTTATTAAATGGGATGACAGGAAAAGGCATAATGGATGCCAAATTCCTGTCTTAGACCTCTAGATGATTTTTATCAAATATAAATAACTGTTACAGTAGTGCAATTCTTAGGTGACATTCTGTTTTGTAAAATGGGAACCAAAGTTCTTCATGTACAGGTTGGTCATTCTTTTTCAGCTTAATTTTCTCTGTACAGAAACTGAACTGTCCACCCTAATGTAACTTCAGTCCATATTTTCACTGTTAAAAAATCCTAGTTATTTCTTGGAATAAGAATACGCAAATATCAATGGGTTCATTCAAGAAGTACTCTCAAACAGGATGTACTCTGGAGAATCTGAACATACTTAAAAAGCAAGCTGTAAGCAAAAAATGGCTACTCTTTTTCTCACGTATTACAGAACAGACAGGGAAGGTAGGAACACACAGGTACTTCTACGGAATCACATTATCCCTCCTGCAGTCAAAGAAGTATATCTCTCCAAAAATGGACTAAAGAATATTTAATTAAAGTTAAAAAATCTGTATTTTATTCTTAATAGAACTAGGATACTAAACAGATGAGGTCTATGATATCAGATTACCTGTCCACTTGAGACTATACAAACATTGGAAAAACATAGTCAACAGTAATTTACATTTTTCAGAACTTTAATACCGAGGGAAAATTCTCTCTTTGGTATTTTGTTGAACTTTGTTAAGATTACAGAAAGCTTGTTAATCTAGTAACATACTTTCACAGATTTATGTGCACTACAGTGGTCAATATTTATTAAGCAATTCATTAGTTCAACAGAAGGGAAAGCCATAGAAAATGTGGCAAGAGCAGAGATAAACTGGTACATGCCATGCTGTAACTACATGACACTCAACTTTTAAAGAATAAAAACAGGTTTAAAGAAAGAAATGCTTCAGCAGACTAAAGAGTCACAGGCTGCAGTTCTATACTATAGCATGAATTTAAAGGACAGTGGGTGACCTTAAGATTCTTTACAGCTTCTTCTATCCCACAGCATTTTTCACATTGTAAGAAATTTTAGCTTTAGGAACCAATTCAATGACAGAGTCTGCAGACTTCCAGTTCACTTCACCTGCACTTAAATCAGGGTCAGACAGGTGATGCTTATTATACACATTAGACTGGGAGAACCCCCTGAAAGCTTCTTGGAAGTCAGCAAAGGGGAAGGAGCTTTAAAGGCTGGGAGTGACTTGCTGGCACAGACAATAGGACATGGCAGGTTTTAAAAGGCTCTGGCTGTGACAGTCGCATTGGCACAGTCTTACTGGGGAAAAGGGAAGGGAAAGGTAAAGTAAGGCAAAGTAAGATAAGACATGGCAAGGCAAGACAGCGTTCCTTCATCTACCTCCAGTAACATTTTGAAAGGTTGGTCTGACACTTGAATCTTTTGTTGTTTTCCCAGAATTAAAATAAACAAACAAAATCTAACACTGCCATTTAAATGTCTTTGAACTTATGCACAGAACATTTCCCAGAAATACGCCTCTCATTTACTCAGATTTAGAATTACATTCTGGGAAGGTATGTAATTTTATACTAAGCATTGCTTCAAGCTCCTTAGAAGTGTTTAAGATGGACAGTGAAAAACATAAAACACCAAAGAGCTTGATTAATCAGTGCACTGTGTGCCTTTGTAGACCACACAACACTCGTCACACGAGAATTTTGATTCAGGGCACCATAACACCTAGACAGAAGAACAGCAGAAAAAATTTACATAGCTACTAAAATGCCAACTAAAATAAATTCCAGTAAGTCCGTGCACATGAGAGCTTTGTGGTCAAGTTGTCACTGCATTTGTGCTGAATTACACTGAAAAGAAAATTTTCAGCCACCTTTTCTTGGTGTTGGGTATTGTATCACCAGGTCTGTTCAAAGGCTTACAGATAGCAATATAAAGTTGGGAATTCTGAATTAATGCAAGTTGGTACAAGTTAAGAAACGGAGAAAAGAAAGAAATAAGGGCATTGTACCATGATTTTTTTTTACCCACAGAATAAAGAATTGTTCAGGTCTGGCTATATAGAGAGTACACGGCATGTTGTAAAATGAAGTGTGGGGTGGGGACAAAACATCATGTCTGAATGACATTGCTAGTGTTTTGGAGAGCTGATGCTAGTTTCTCAGCTTGCAGCTATAGATGTCATGATTATACAATACAAAACACTGAGCTCTGGGAGAGCACAGTCTGTTACTGTGCAGTGTTTATCTGCTGCACTGCAGCAGTGTTTCTGTAAGGATCTGGAACTTCATGTGGTGCTGGAGAAACAGCAGTGCAGACTTTAAACACTTATTTCCTAAGCATTATAAAACTAAAGCATATCTGTCAGTGGCTGTGGCTGTGGAGCAGCCAGTGCAATATACTAGGAGACATTAAGAGCTGTCAGATTTCTAATCTGTAAAGCTGATGAACTGTATAAGGCGCGATATTAAAAAGAGAGAGCTCTCTCCCAGTCTCTCTCAGCTGATATAAAATCTCATTTTGTCAGAGGGTTAAGTACAAGGATCAAATTAATCTCTCAGTAATTAACGGTACCTATGTTCTGCAAAGCATCTGGATAGTAAACCTGCTTTATATAAAAAGATAACTATATGTCTCTTCCACAGTGAAGTTAGTAGTAAAATTGTCAGAGCTCCCCCACAGCCAAGTGTATCAGGTCCGTTCTGAAACAGCAGGTAGGCTCTAAGCCTGCAGCACCTTAAAGGTCCTGTCCCAATGCTTCACTGATACCTTTAGTCCATTTTTCCTGCTATTGTCCAGTTCTCTGAATTGTACAATAAGTTGACTCTCAGAATACATCTTTTCTTTACATGTTAAGAAAAACAAAAACTACAGAAGTTGTACTTCTAAGTAGTCTCAAATTAAAATAGGTTGCCATTAGTTCAAGTAAATCTATTAGGAACATAATTGTTCAGTGTTCAATTTCCCTAACAGAGTCCTCTTCTGTTTTATTGTCCTTCACCCATCTAATTATCCTCTCAGACAGACAACAGTACCTCCAGCAGACAGGTAGCAGCCATGAGATTAAACAAAAGTTCCTCAGTAAGACATATTAATATTTTCAAGATGAAGTGACAAACTGGATAGGGATATAATTTCTGTTATAATAGCACTGCTCTTCATCACTGATGGCTAACTAGTGTTTTCTGATAAGCAGTTCCTGAAGTGAATAGAAGCTATCGATGAATTATTGCCTGGACCTCATTTTTACTGAATTTAATCTATGGCAGTAGCTTTATAGGTTTGCTGCTACTGTTATCTCCTTTGTTCATATTATTTTGTTTCTTCTTTCTGTAGAAGAACAAGTTAAACAAGTCTGTTCTTCACTGTATATTGGGGAGCTAGTCGCTCCTTGAATTCAGACAGCTTTGAGGATAGCCATTTGTGTGTAGCATACCAACATAAATTGCCCACAGACTTTTACTGTGTCTCAAGTATCCTGTTCTGTAGCCATTGTCAGCTCCCACGCTCTAATTCACGTTTCTCGACATTTCTACACAGTAGCAGATAAAAGCTGCAATTCACTTGAAAATTACTTTTTTCAGATAACTCTTGTTATTAGATGGAGTCCTTTCTTCCTGCTTCCTTTACCTTTAAAATCATTTAGCATTGTTAGGTTCTCTGCTAATCTTATATGTAGTATATATTGCATATATGTATATATATATCTTCAATACTTTAAAAATTTAGGAAAGAAAATGTGCATTTCTCAAACAGCTAATAAAAATATCCCATTTGAGTTTAAAAACTTGTAATTTTATTGTTCTTACACTGAAAATTTGTTTGTTCTTTTTTTTTTATACCTGTTTTAAGTGTCTGGGATCTTATGATGTTACATTTTTAAAACAGTCAAAAGACAGCAAATTATGTCCCACCATAGGTTGAGAATAACTGAGTGATAGTCAAAGACATAATGCTAGTTTATGAGAATCAGTTGTTGCTAAAAGAGGCTTGGATAAAGAACTGTGCAGAACATACAGTATTTCAGGGAAAACCATGAAAAAAACAACAGTAGCAGTGATTTTAAAATCTTAAGGATGAAACCAAGTGTTAAGGATCCACTAAAATATAAAGGAATGTACACTGGTGAATATCTAATAATCGCACTGAACAACTGCTGAAGGAAAAATACAATACAGTGAAATCATGCTCAGACTGCTGAAGACAGAAATCTCATGACTGAGCTCATTATCTAGAGTAAGTGCTATGAGAAAATTCCACTGAATTCTGTTCAAAAGTCAAGATTATCTGATGAATTGTAGCAGCTGACATTCCTGAATTCTTCATCATCATCTTCAAAAAGAATGACTATTCATTTGCAATATTTTCTTGTTGAAGAAAAGGGAAGAATCTGTCCCAAAAGGGAAGAATCTGTGGACACTTGCTAAAGATTTGTCTGAAGAACATTTACTTGCTGAGTGGCCCATGTAATTTTCAGTTCATTCAGG